ATGATATTTCAGGGTAAAGCCTGTATTTCATTCTGTGAACAGCAAAGCTACAAAGATGGTCTACTGTTGGGCAGCAGGTAGGCGGGTCCTCATCTTTCTTTTCCAAAAATTGCTGCTGACTTGGGGTGGGAGTGGAACAAACAAGAAACTGTTGTACGCAGATGTAGGTAGTTTCAGTTGTCATTTATTCCTGTTCTATGAAGAAATTTTCAGAGTTCATAGCCAGTTGGCTCGTGTTACTTAATCAGTAGTAATCCAAGTGCTGTGCAGACGGTTTTTACTAGCCTTTATTCAGCTTATAACTGGATGCTGCTTACACTTCTGCTCCTTTTGTGCCCGGCTCTGAGGTGCCTTTTAGGATATGGAACTTGATTTCTGAAAATAGACATTTCTGTGCTTTCTAGTTGTATTTCTTAAGACGAGTCAGAGGCTGCTTTGGTTAGAAGTTGCTTTTCTGTTTGTTTTCTGACTTCCTAATTGCCACATGTGTCACACTGCTGACCTGGGAGAATGAAGAAAAATTGCACGGAAGCGTGTGAGTAAAGGAGAGGAAGGAAAGTTGACGTTTATTTTATGCCTCATTACAGTAATCCTTGCTCGTCTTCTGCCATGTGTCCCGTTGGACCTATGCCCACCTTGGTCTTATTATTTGCATAATTTCTTTTTCAATGATTTGCCATCATAGATGCCAATCCATCATGTTATTTCCTTTTGCTTTCCCATTAGGCAGCCGATTACATCTATCGATTCTACATATTCTCTGGGAGAAAGAGAGCACTTCTTAGTATCTATTCTGTAGCAGTTCTGTAGTGAATGAAACCTCTAAGCAACTTCTTAGCATGTTTTATCTATATAGGGCAAATAGTGATTAAACGCATCTCTGGGTCTCTCTTTTCTGTTAAAGGACACGTGCACGCACACAGACACGTGTGTATTCAAAGTCTCTTAAGAGAGTTCAACATCAAGACGTGTTTCATGATACGTGCTATAAAGTGTATTTACAGGTATCTACTATGGCTGTTCCGACTCCTATTTTGTATCAGTGTCTCTGGTCAGGTTGAGATTTATTTTTTTTTTTCTCTTCCACTGAAGTCGTTGAAATACATTCAGTCAGTCTTTCACATCAGAGGTGTAAATGGATTTCTTGAAAGTTTTCTGCTGATAGCAAACAGCAGTCACTTTACAACTTCGACTCCATTGTGGGCAGCAGTCAGAAAACTTAACGCTCCACCCGAACTCTGAAGATGCTAAAACTGTGCAATGACCTTTCATTCTCAAGGGCAGATGCTCAGCGTCTGCTGGAAGTGCTAATCTCCAATCTGTTTATACGCTATCTGACAGCACTTGCCTGGAAATCAAATCAGGGAAAGTAGTAGTCCAGTTCAGATACCTTTTCTCTCTGATGGTGTTAACAGTCAAAATATTTTAAAAGCCCTAGATTTATTTTCCCTTTTTCAGTTTCTTTTTTGCCTCTTTTTTTGTTTTCCTTTTTTTCCTTCGCAGGTAATTGCAGCACACGCTGCAGAACGCATTGTCCTTGTTTGCTCCCACGAGCAGAAAGGGATCAGATAACCGCGATCCTCTGTTCTTTCATAGGGAATTACTGTTTGTTTTTGCCTTAGAAATGAAAGTAGTCATCATTAACTTGTGTTGGTTGGCTTTAAGGTGAATTTACTCCGTATGTACACGGGCACTTCTGATGGAAAGGCAGTGAGTTGGAGTGAGGCATTGTGCGCAGGGTAAGGTAATATCATCTGTTAGATATGCCTTAGTCGTGTAAACCCTCCTTCAAATCCGGAATAGAAACCTGAAGAGGCTGGCTTTTGCACATAGAAGTGCATCAAATGTTTTCATAGCCCACCTTGAGGAGCTCTATGTACACAAAGTTAGTCTGTTCTCTTCTATCTCCTGGTCAGTCTGGAAGCCCTTGCTTCGCTAACGAGTCTCGCACCCAGAAGCCATCACAGTCAATGCAGTGCTGCTGAGTGGAAAAAATCCTTGGTGTTAATGTAGTCCTTGTTTTTTCCAACTAGCTCTCCATATCAAAATGAAACATCAACGTAAAATTAATTTGATTCAACAACAGCATCTATTTTTAAAAAAGAATGTGTCTCCTCTGCCATGCAATTGTTCATCTTTTTTGTTCAGAGAATTGCGTGTGTTGCAAATGGACAAGTTCAAATTGTACACCCTTTCTGTGATGAGACAACAGGAAACTTGCTCCTGCTTGTTCAGAACTCCAGGTTTCATTAGCAGAACTTTGCCAAACATTGCAAGAACTGACTTTTTGAAGGCTGAATTCTCAACAAGTGCAGTAAATATGGATAGATATTCTCTTCCTCTCCACTTACAGAGTTATGAGGAAGCATTGCTCTCTCAGAGGTAACGTTTTGTTTATGACATTACAGACTTTGAACTTGCAGTGGTTGTTGTCCGTTGTGCAAATATCTCAAACCTCAATAAATACCAAGTCACAGATCCCATCTAAAGGAGAAAGGATGCTGTCTTTGTCAGTCAGATGGATAAAGTGGAGCTTTAAAACAGAAAACAAAAAGCTTGTTTTGCTTTTACCTCTGCGTTTTTCTGCGATGTGCTGAGGCACGAAGCATGCAGTGGCTGATTGTGCTGCATCAGTGAGGTTCCATCAGATTTAGAAAAGACAGACCTTGAGTCCCTGAAGCGTGTTCAGAGAAAGGCAACGAGACTGGTGGGGGGTCTGCAACACAAGCCTTATGAGAAGTGACTGAGGGAGCTGGGACTATTTAGTCTGGAGAAGAGGAGGCTCAGGGGAGACCTTATTGCTCTTTTCAGCTGCCTGAAGGAAGCTTTGGGTGAAGTGGTTATCTTCTCCAGTTCAACTCGTGAGAATACTGGAGGGAATGGCCTCAATTTGCATCAGGGAAGATTCTGGTTGGAAGTTAACAAGAACTTTTTCTCTGAAAGGGTGGTCGGGTGCTGGAATGGGCTGCCCGGAAAGTCCCTGTCCCCGGAGGTGTTCAAAAAAAGTTTAGGTGTTGTACTGAGGGACGTGGTTTAGTGGGAAATATTGGTGATAGGTGGGTGGTTGGACTAGATGATCTTGGAAGTCTTTTCCAACCTTAGTGATTCTATGTTCTATGATTTGTGCTTCTTTTTGCACATGCCCAGAAGTGTCTGAACTTGGAAACCTGTTGTTATGGTGTTCCGTTATCCCAAAATTTCAGGGTGCTTAGGAACTACTCAGACACTTGGTACTTTCTGAGCTATGCAATATAATTGCCCGTGGGGAAAAGAGGAAGAAAAGGGAGGTCTGGCTCTGGTGTTCTGAGCAGTTCTTCATAGTAACTGCTCATTCTATGGAGTGACAGCCGCATCCACTTCGTACGAATTTTGCTATCCTTTCTTTCATCTTAGTGTTGCAGATGATGCTGTGCACAAATTCAACTCTTACTGCCTCCACCCTTATCTCAATATTTTTCCCCGTTTTCAAGTAATGTGCTTGAACACCTATGTTTATTTATAACTGTATCTGTATGTTAGCATAGGTCTCCCTGTAGGCAGTAAGTGACTCCCTAAAGCAATTCTTACTGCTGCTTGTCTTTCTTGATCTATCTTGTCTTTTGTGATCCGTCTCAGCTGTGACACTTGCAAAAAGGTAAATGATTATGGATCGCTGGACTGTGGGGCAGCCAGATGTGGCATATAGTATTTATTTCAAAATACACTCTAAAATTCTGCTGTGCTTTCAAGTTGCGCAGCTTACCTGTTGCCTGCTCTATCCTTGTGGTGTGTATTTTCTGTGGTTTTTTTTTTTTGGAGCAGTGTCTTGACAAGCTTTCAAAAAACAAATAGAATGCTAATCGTGTGAGGTTTTCCTTTACATTAGCTTCGAAAATATTTAAGTAGAGGGCTGTTACAGATGAAAAAGTGCCTTTTTGTTTGATTGTTCTTAATATGGGGCAAGAAAAAGCAAACAACAAAACAGAAAATAAGCATCCCTGTAGATGCGCGTATGAAAGTTTTGGACTTGAAACTGTCAAGTTTGTGGATAGCTGAAGGAATTATTCTTGAGAAATGTTAGGATGAAGAACACTCTTGTCTTAGAGAAGTTCTGAGCAACCTCTGCGAATTAGCATGCATTAAATGATAAAATAATTTTATTGAGCAATAATAAAATATTGAAGTGAGATGGAAGGATGATGGGGAATTGCTTTTTGCAGCCATGAAACTGAAGCATGTCATGTTAACTCCCAACCCAAACAACTCACTTTAAGAATTGGTCTCATGAAACTTAAAACCCTCTGTTTTGTCCAATCATCAGCTTTAAACTTGTTCCTTGTCAGTGAAGACAAAAAATCCTTTTGCTTGCATCTGCCAGGGGGCTGTGGAAAGCTGAGGTGGTCCTGTGTGATTAAATTAGATGAAAGACTTGTCTTCTACCAGTGATACATGAAGTCTAATCAAGTGAAGTGAGTTTTGAGATCTCAGCTAATTTCCGTGGGGAATATCAGCTTACATTATGCAGTCACGACACCAAACTCATCACGGTTGATTTGTGGCTTCTGCTCAGATGAAGACCTGCGATTGGGTAGCATGGGAATCGATCACAAGGACGGGTGGCGAACTGGAGTCAAGATGCAGTACAGTCAGGGGAGGGCTTTATTATGTTTTTGAAGGTAACTTTATTTGTACAGAACGGTATTTGTTAGGAAGATATGAAGTTATAGAGATAGTTGTATTTTTTTTTTTTTTATCTATCAGGCTTCCTGGATTGGAGGGGCTTAGGTCCAAAACGGGGAAGGCTAGACATAAAAAAATAAAATTAATGACTTTGTAATGAGCGTGGTTCCCGAAATGGTTGATGTACAGTTCTTAAAAAAAAGGTCTCTGAAGGGTGAAGTTAAATTCATTGTCACGTAATTTCTATGATGCTGAATGACAATTATGCACTTCCATGTATCAAAGTACGACGTGTATTCTGCTTCCCTGACTAATAAACAAATCTATTCTTTTTCTTCCAGGGCATTGTTATAACTCCACTTCTGCTTCTGCTTTTTGTAAGTATTTTGATCTTAAGATGTTATTTTAACGTATAATCCGTATACTTAAGGTAAAAACTTGAGTGATACATAACAGTGCTTAAATAACTGGAGATTATTCTGGTTGATGTTTGAAATGAACTGGCTTTCATTAGGACTGTAGAAGTGTCACAATGAGTGCAAGTCCTTGTTGCACTTCATTCTGGAGGGAACAAAACGTGTTGTTGTTGCAGCATCGCAAAATCATACGTTTCTGGTCAAGCTGAGTCTTGAGTAAAGGCTGCCTGCATAAGGTGGTCATCCAGCTAGGAAATCGCTTGGAGAGCTTTCACGTGCAGAAGCTGGAAAACCTTGTAATGGTACAGAGTGGATGACAGGCCCATTGCAGAGAGCACTGTTGAGGTGAAGCTGTGCTCTTGGGCAACTGTGCTCATGGGCGTTTTTGTGGTAAATGTAAATGATGTCAAAATCAGAAAGATAAATGACCGGAGTCTCTGTACGTTGGTAAGGCGATGCCACTTCATTCTTGTTAGTTTAAGGCCTTCTCAGTTGTTAGTTGTCTTCAGTCAGGGCCTTGGTTCTTCACAGTGTGTAGCTGAAGAAAAGGGTGAAGATGAAGTTTTATCTTCAGAACGGTAATGGGATTCGTAAGAACAGAACAAAGGAACTTGAACAGGCAGGTGAGGGTTCTTCGGTGACACCCATATCCCTAAGTCCTGGAGCTTGTGGAGAACTTGCTATTTTGGTGCTAGTTTTGGCTTTGTGAAGAGCAGGGAAACAGCCTGCAGCAATTCAAGGATTTCAGAAGTAGAACTTGTCTTTTCAGTTTATGTTACTAATGATACAATGTGTAACGCGGCACTCTGGAAAGAGGACTAAGTGTGGACATAGTCTGAACCAATTTGTAAACAGCATATTGTTTTTAGTAGGGATGCTTAAGCTGCTGATGTATCATATGCATTTGTGGTAGTGTGTAATACTGGACTGGAATAACTAGTAGTGTGTGAGTGCTTATAGCAACATCAGCTACTGTCTCAGTAAAGCTGCACAGGAAGATTGCTATTGTACAGTAGTTAAATTTACTGTAGTAAATGGTCATTTAACTGGCATAGCTATGGTTATATGAGGACAGCTTTGTCTGTATCATGTATATCAATGTGCTGTGTATCAATATTATGTGCTAGCAGAGCTTTCCTCACACGTACAACCATATACTTACTTTACATTGAGAAATATAATTGTTCCAAGAAAAATGGCTGCTTTGTTCTTGCTCCAAGTAAATTGATTTCAGACTAACTACCTCTCATATTTTCCTCTCTTCTTCCCTCCTGAATGGAATGTGTAATTGCTAGGCAAGCACAGTCGTGGAAACCTATGACTTAGTTTCTAAGTGACTGAGATTTCAGCTTTTTTTTTTTTCTTCAGCTTTCCCCCTGGTGTACCCCCCGGAGTTATGGTACTCCATGTAGCCTAACCTTGGGCTATATTTCTTGTGGAAATGGAAATGTTAATGAGTGATCTGCCTAACTTTTCAAGCAAGACAAAATTTTTTCTTCTGTGACTTTATGGACAGATAGCAAAACATTCTGTCCCATAACTTGCAGGTGTCACTGATACTTCTAGTAGAGGTAATAAAAATCTGGGTGTGTGCAAGGACCAGAAGGCAAAGCATATGCTTCTGTTCTTCCCACTAGCCCTGCGGATGACTGTATAAGAAGTTTGTAAAATGCACGTTAATTTTTCTGCTGTTCGTAACAGAACTTGGATCTGTTCTTTTTGGGGAAGGTAAAATACATCAATTACTTTTTTGTCAGAGTAGTGAACTAGTCTGGGGATGGGAGAGCTGCAGAAGCTGCAGCCTTTTTGTCAGAAAGGCCAAAACTTAAGGACTCTTTTTAGAGTGTGTAAACACTTAAGACTCCTCGATGTCTTTGCTGAGGAATTGACCCGTGAAGAGCAGCCATCCGGGTCCCACTGTGTGCGTACCTTGCCGAGATGAGGTTCTCTGTGAGTGTTCAGTCATCCAGCGGCAGGTGCCGGGGCCGGCATGCGCATGCCCCGCTATACTCTTCCTGTGCCTTGGCACCCTGTGGTTTGGACTGTCAAACCCTTTAGCTGTTGTGAACTGCTCCAGTTGTCCTTTGAATTTCCTTGGTACATGTGATCTTAATGTGTAGTGGCATCACGCACATAGTTTGTATGTTTCGAGCCTGTCATTTCACATGCAGTCAGAAACAACAAAGTTTTAGTGCTTAGTTAATACAGAGTGGAATTTTCAAATTTCAGAACAGAACTCCTGTTTACCTCCAAGGTAACTGAATTGGGCTTCTGGTGAATAACTCTGAGGGTTCTTTGAACTCAGTGCCTTCAGCGAGAGATGATTCATGAATCTGGTGCTGTTTGGCACAAATTCTTCCATAGAGTCATACTATGATAATCTGAATGCTGTAATTGAATTAGTGGTTCTATTTCTAAGGCTCCCCATATGTAGTGCCTCGAATGCGCTCCGTGTTGCCAGAAATAAAATAAATTGTTGACCATTAGTTTGTTATTATTTATATAGCTTAAGCTCTGGTCATGATAATGATTTAAATTTTGCCTTGTGCATCAGACAATATATTGATCTGCACCGCCGTTTCAGTTCCTAATTGCCTGGTAATGAAAATATAAGTTGTCCAAATAGCATTGATAAAGGCCTGAGACTTACCGTAAATAATGCATTAAATGCAAATAATTTATCTGAAACGAATGGCGTCAAACGTAAGGTTGTCAGTTACGTTACTGAAAAGTGTACTGTCTGCTGTGAACTTTGGTTAGAAAGCTTTCTCAAACAAAGCGTTCTAAGAGGTGATGATTGATTTAATGAAACCTTAAGTGTTGTGCATGCAATTATCAGACAATTATCCTTTTGAGAATGCTTAGCTGGACTTGAAAGAATCATGGCGTTCTCCATGGGTACCTCTGATTCACATTTCGCCTAATGAGCTGTTGAATCTCAGCATGGAGATGCATTAATCTGCAATATCATCATCTTCACATTAACTCTTATTACTAACAATTAATATATTACGTTCTCAGTAGTGGTGTTATGAATGGACAGCGTCCCACAAACGATATATAATTGGATAAGGTTCCTATATACGGTGAGAAGTGCTGAAACCAACTACTGTAAGGTACATCAGTTTCAAGTTTACATAGGTTTACGCTGTTCGCTTTTCTTTGCAATGTTCTGCAGTGTTTCGTTAGTGATGGTTAGGAGTCTGTGTAACAAAGCACTGAGGGAAGGTTGCTTCCTCTTGTCCAGCTTAGATCTTCTGCAGAAACCAGAGGTAACAGAATTGAATGTTCTGGAGACAGACGGACAGACAACAAGCACCCCTGGAAAAGTAGAATGGTAATGCAGGAGAAGTTTTGCTTTTGGAAATAAATAAATCAATAAATGATGCTTGTGATTTGATCAAGGAATTCCTGAGGAATGTAATCATTTGGACATGAACAGGAATGTCCATCTTCAGTTAGTATATGACTTGTTCTGTCTTTTTGTGAGTGTAATAACATTCTCCCTTTTCATGTAATCTCAAGAAAAAATGTTTACTCATTGGCTTGGAACCTTAATGGGACTGTGGCTTAAACAGCCACCTGTCGTGACACATCTCTATGTGAATGTTGAGAGCAGTGTTTGTTCTAGGAGGTGAAAAACTAAGCAGAGCGTGGCAGCAAGTTGAGCTAAGAGAACCTCACCTGAATCTTACACTCCAGCTTTCACTTCTCAACACTGCATTTCTTCACTCAGACTTACTGACTTAACCCTACATGAATACAGGTTAAAGAAATTGCAATCCACGCTGAAGCACGATTGAGACAGACTGACTCCTATCCACCTGCGAGCATTTGTGACTTGAATGCATAAGTATACTGCGTTTGGGCACATTTGCATTACTAAAAAACAGTTAAATGAGAGATGTCATCATGCTGTGGAGGTAATACTGCTGTGATCTCTCTGATAACCTCAAGCTGTCAAAACTTCGTTGTAATGTATAATTGTAATAATAGAATTTTAGAAGCACTGCACTCTGCAGCAGTTGTAGCGATCATCACACCCACGCATGTCCTTAGATGGTAACTTTAGACATGAAGAAATAGGTATAAAAGCACGTTTATTTTCATTCAGAGGTTCCATGTTTTTGATTTATGCAGGTCGAGGGCAGCCCTAATTCCTCACAAAGGTCTGTGTTTATTGGATTTGCCCTGGAATCAGAGTGAACATAGATACTGTAGTGAATGTAGTGATAATTCTCTTCTGAGCATCGGTCCAGTTCTTTCCAGTTGCTCTGAAACAGGGTTCTCCTCTCTGTCCTGAGACGTGGTTGAGCACATGGGCTTGCAACTCTACCAAGTGTTATGACTTCACTGATTGTATTTTCTGTCAAAGTATGTAAAAGAAAATCTGCACGTGTGTTGGAGCCAAATGTGACGCTGTGCATTTTGTGGCATGGGATTTCAGCTCTGCTGTTGTCTTGTCACTGTTGCTATTGAGATTCGGTGCCTTGACAGAAATGATTTCTTCAGCTTCTGGAAGCACGGTCAGAAATCTATCCAAGTAACCAAAGTCAGGTGTGTGAATCTGTGAATTGTTATTGAAAGCCATGAAAGAAAATATGTGTTATAGATGTTTATGCATCTTAGGCACTTCAGAAGTGTGCCTGCAAACCAGTTAGCGTGGAATGTTAAAAAGCCAATGCAAAATTCATGCATGTTTTCAAAAATAGGTTTGGCAAAAACCTCCATGTAACTGTCATACACTGCTCCCATGTCTGCTATTTCACCAAAGGGGGTTGCTGTGACATCTGTGTCAAGATGCAATCTTCCTGAGGCTTTATCATCTTGCTTCGTTACTGGATTTATTCAGCGATGTTTTGTTTTCTGGTAATTTCTTAAGTGTCTGGATTTTATAGTAGTTATTTTTATGATGCATTGCAGTGGTTAAGCTGTAAGTACTAGAAATTCAGGAGCAAGTA